TCTTTCTTCCTTCCTTCCTTCCTTCCTTCCTTCCTTCCTTCCTTCCTTCCTTCTTTCTTTCTTTTTTTTTCTTTTTTTGGTTTTTTTGAGACATGGTTTCTCTGTGTAGTTTTGGTGCCTGTCCTGGATCTTGCTCTGTAGACCAGGCTGGCTTTGAACTCACAGAGATCTGCCTGGCTCTGCCTCCTGAGTGCTGGGATTAAAGTTGTGTGCCACCACCGCCCAGCCCCCATTTAAGTTTAAAAAAAAACATTTAAAATTATATTTCATTTGTTTGTGTGTAGGTGTATGTAAGTGTAGGGGCACGTGTGTTATGGTACACAAGAGGTCAGAGGACAACTTGCTTGAACTTCTACCATGTGGGTCCCAAGGTCAAAGTCAGATCATGAAGTTCAGTGGCAGGTATGCTTACCTGCTGAACCATCTCGGCAGCCCAGCCCAGCTCCCTGCCTTTGAAAAAAAAAGTTTTTATTTTTTGTGTATGTTATTGTGTCTGCATGTATGTCTGTGCACCGCATGTGTGCAGTGCCCTTGGAGGCTAGATGTGGGACTGGAATCCCTTGGGACTGGAGTTACAGTTGTGAGCCACCATGTGGGTGCTGGGAAATGAACCCGGGTCCTCTGGAAGAGCAGCCCATGCTCTTAACGGCTGAGCCGTCTCTCCAGGCCTGCAGCCAATGCTCTTCACCAATGACACACACCTCTCCAGCCCCCACCCCATCCCCATCTCACCCCCCACCTTTTTTTTTTTTGACAGTCTCACTGTGTAGCCTTGGCTGTCCTGAAACTCAATATGTTGACCAGGCTGGCCTCGAACTCACAGAGATCTATCTGCCTGCCTCTGCCTCCCGGGTGCTGGGATTAAAGGAAGGTGTCACCAGCCTGGCTTTCAGCTCCCTTTTAAATTAAAAATAATAATAATAAAAGTTTCTTGCCAGATTTTTTTTTTTTTGAGACAATCTCCTCATTCCCAAAGCCCCTCAGGCTGCCCCTATAAAAGGTCACAGCCAGCTTTTTCTCCTGGCAGACCCTCCCTTCGATCTTCCAAAGGAGAGAGGCTGCCCTCTTCTGTGTGCAGTGATAAACGCAGTCCCATCTGATCAAGGTCAGACTCTGGTCTCTCTTGCTGTCTCTTGACAATGACTCAGAAATCCAGCCCTGCTCCTGGAACTCTGGGCTGCTGTCGGGAAAGCACATGTCTCAGAAACCAGAAACTGTTGGGACAGGTTCTCAGGACTCAATAATGATCATTTTATTGTTTGGTGGAGTCTGGGAAACTGTTAATGTACATAAATATCAATACTAGGAATTTTTGGTTATAAATGCCAGCCAAGAAAAAGAAAAGGATTATTATTTTTAGAAAATGAAAACAAAATCCAGTTTCTTTAAGTTCCACATGGTGGTTCCTGGACTAAATGCTATGGGGTGTGTGCATGTGTGCGTGCGTGCGTGCGTGCGTGCGTGCGTGCGTGCGTGTAAGAGAGAGTTGTGTATATACAGGTTCACATGGGTGATTGTATGTGTGTACCAGTGAACATGTATGTGTGTGTATGTTTTCAAGGGGAGACTAAAGGTTGATGTCTGGTGTCTCCCTACCACTTTCCAGCTTATTATTTGAGACAGGCTCCCTACTGCACCTGGAGCTCACTAATTCAGCTGGGCTGGCTGGCCAGTGAGCTCCAGGGCCTGCCTGTCTTCACCTCCCAGAGCTGGGATTATAGCCACTTGCCTCTGCACCTGGCTTTTCCAGGGTACCGATGATACAAAACTCAGATCCTCAGGCCTTCACAACAAGCCCCCGCCAACTGAGCTATCCTCCCAACACCCCCAAATGAGATTTTAACACTTATTATGACTTAAAAATGTGTATGTACGTGTGTGATGTGCCATGTGTGGTGTGGATACCCTAGGAGGCCAGAAGAGACCATGAGATTCCCTGGAGCCAGAGTGGTAATAAGCCGCCTGGTGTCTGTGCCAGGATCCAAACTTGGGTCCTTTGGAAGAGCCGTGCATTTTCTGACATTTGAACCCTCACTTTAGCCCCACATTTGATTCGGAATGAACCGGACAGACCCTATTTGCTTTCCTGTTCAAAGTTCCTCCTGATGACTTTATGAACCCAATTTACATGCTGCTCTAAATAGACCATTTCTAGTCACCCTAGAGACAGAGGGCAATGGCCAACCAGAGAAATGACTTCACCCAAGCCAGGCTTGGTGCACTGGTGACTTTGGGGGAGGGGTAACTCACCGGAACGAGAGAGCGTTGGCTTATTTACAGGAGCAAGGACGACCGTCAGCAGCTGGCTCGTTGAGAAGAACCTGGGCAGTTTACCAACACCACTCAAGAGTCTTCTCTCCTCAGCTGTCGTTTGCTGAGCCAGATGCATCTTGGGTGACAAGATTCACAGCTGAGCAGGGTCACTGGTGACAGTTCTGTAGCCTGAGTGGTACTGACTGGGGTTCTACAAGCTGGTGTCTTAGGGTCACTAGTGCTGAGGAAACGCCATAACCAAAGCGAGCTGGGGAGGAGAGGGTTTATTTGGCTTACATTTCCATATCACTATTCATCACCAAGGAAGTCAGGACAGAAACTCAAACAAGGCAGGAACCTGGAGGCTGGAGCTGGTGCAGAGGCCATGGAGCGGAGCTCCTTACTGGCTGGCTTCCTGCACCTGGCTCAGGCTGCCTTCTCATCTAACCCAGGACCACCAGCCCGGCGGGGCCTTCCCGGATCAATTATTAATGAAGAAAATGTCTTACAGTCTGATCTTATGGAGGCATTTTCTCAACTGAGGTTACCTCCTTTCAGATAACTCTAGCTTGTATCAAGTTGACATAAAACTAGTCAGCCCAGCTAGGGAGGTACCAGCTTGATTTCCCCATGCCCTGCGCCAGAGCCTTAATGTCTCCAGCAATAGTGACTAACTTTGATTTTTGACATAAACTGAGTGAGAGCAGTGGCAATAGCCTGTGTTATTCTGGGGGGCCTCAGCAGCCTCCCTGACCAACAACTCATAGGTATCATTCCTAATACTAAGATTTCCATTTACCCAGCAATTGTATGGCTCCTGGGAATACTTTCTCGATACATAAAACAAACAAGGTACCTGCATTTAAACTCTGCTGTTTTTTACTGTTGTTGGCTTTTTCATTTCCAGAGCTTTTTTCAAATCTGGAAGACGCTTGAGAATTACTACCAGATCTATTAGATGCTAGAATCTTTTTTTTTTTTTTTTTTTTTTCTGAGACAGGATTAACCTGGTCTGTCCTGGAACTTGCTATGTAGACTGGACTAGCCTCGAACTCACAGAGATCTTGTTGCCTCTGCCTCCTGAGTGCTGGGTTGAAAGGTGTGTGTTGCCACGCCTCCCTCAGACGCTAGAAGCTAGAATCTTTTTAGTGAGGGTAGACAGAATCCCAAGGTCTACCACCGTACCTTCCAAGCAAACAACGTAGCCGAGGGGGTTTACTAAACAAGAAGAACAAAAACGTTACCGAAGACCGATACAGTGCGTGGACAATCCCATCTCTGCATTGGTTTTTCTTTTTTCTTTTTATTTTTTTTATTTTTTGATTTTTCGAGACAGGGTTTCTCTGTGTAGTTTTGCGCCTTTCCTGGGACTCACTTGGTAGCCCAAGCTGGCCTCAAACTCACAGAGATCCACCTGCCTCTACCTCCCGAGTGCTGGGATTAAAGGCGTGCGCCACCACCGCCTGGCTGCATTGGTTTTTCATCCAAACTTCTTGCTGGATTAACTCTGCTGTGAACCTAGTTCTGCAGGGTCTGGCGAGCCTTCTCCGGATTCCCTTATGATGCCTGGTCGTCTGTTGTATTCCAGTCCATGACATTCAAGGGGACTCACCCAGTGATTACCATATATTCCTACTGGCTCATAGAAGCCAGTCCATCAGGGACTCTGATCATGCAGACTCCATCTCAAGAAGCTGTGGATTGCCAGACTCATGCTTTTAATCCCAGCAGAGGCAGAGGCAGGCAGATCACTGAGTTCAAGACCAGCCTGGTCTACAGAGCTAGTTCCAGGACAGCCAGGGCTACACAGAGAAACCCTGTCTATAGTTAAGTCACAGAGTTTCTCTACTTCCGTAGTATTCAGAATCACTCTGTCTGCCCCCACATCCCACTAGTTCCTAAGTAAGACATGAGAAGCTTTTAAAAATTTCTTGTTTAAAAGCTTTTTCCAGGGGCTGGAGGGGATGGCTCAATGTTAAGAATGCCTGTTGCGGAGAAGGATTCAAGATGGCGGAGACAAGCAGATGCAGGTAGGCCTGTGGCAGCGGCCCGCGGAGGTAGACGGGTCCGGTGGCAGTGGCTGACAGGGACATTTAGGCCCAGCGGCAGCTGGCAGAGACATTCAGGCCCAGTGGCGGCCCACAGAGGTGGACAGGCCCTGCAGCAGAGATAAGCAGACGGAGGTGGACAGGACCGGCGGCGGCGGCGGCTGACAGAGATATTCAGGCCCGGCGGCAGCCGGCAGAGACATTCAGGCCCAGTGGCGGCCCACAGAGGTGGACAGGCCCTGCAGCAGAGATAAGCAGACGGAGGTGGACAGGACCGGCGGCGGCGGCGGCTGACAGAGATATTCAGGCCTGGCGGTGGTCCACAGAGGTGGACAGGCCACGCGGCGGAGACAGGCGGACGCAGGTCGGCGACTTGCGGAGGTGGAAGGGCCGGTGGCAGTGGCCGACAGGGACTTACAGGCCCAGCGGCAACCGGCAGAGACATACAGGCCCAGTGGCGGCCCGCAGAGGTGGATGGGCCCGGCAGCAGTGACAAGCAGAGGTAGGTAGGCCCGCGGCGGCAGACAGCGGAGACATACAGGCCCATTGGCCGCCCGCAGAGGTAGACAGACCCAGCGGCAGCTGACAGGGACATACAGGCCCAGCGGTGGAGTCAAGTGGACGCAGGTGGGCCTGTGGCGGTGGGCCACAGGGGTGGACAGGCCCGGGGACAGAGAGGGGAGGACACAGCTTGGAACGGGGACGCCCCAGCCCCAACACCTGGGGAAGAGGCTATCTCTGTGGGTC